ATTCGAAGAAAGATGTGTACAGCAAAAACTGCATAGCTTGAAAAATTGAGGGTGCAAAATTCGCGTGGCTGCTGCAGGAGGCTGTTTTTGGCTGCTACGAGCACAGGTTAGGTGGTGGTGTGAAACCAAAGGTGGATGTGGAGGTGGTAGTGGTGTGTAGGTGTGGGACAGTGGTGTTATGTGTCAGGTGGAGTGGAGTTTGTGGACCAGGCCAGTCCTTTGACAATGGCGTGGTCCGGGTGGATCACCCAGCAGCGGCCCTTCTGATGGAAGACTGCACCATGGTGATCGTTAAGGAGGTTCATGGCGTGTTCCTCACCTCCGGAGGTATATTTTGTGGCAGCACCCCAAGCAAGGAGTGTGATGATAAGGGAATGGGAGTTCTTGTGGAGTTGCCAGGTGTTGTGGATGATGCGGGCAAATTCGTTGTGGTCATGGGGTTGGTTGTGGGTGATGCGAACGCCCTGGGCAAAAAATCCAGGGTAGTTGGCAAAGTGGAGTGTGCTGGGTAAAAATCGGCCTTGGCGTAGAATGTTGGAAATGTTGCCGACAGGGCCTGTGTGGCCTGCGTTGATGTGGGCGACTTCCCGGTGGGTTGATGTGGCTCGGGAAACCGCAGGCGGTTCTGGTGTAGTGGCTTTGGTGTTGAGGAAAGGAAGTGAAATGGCGTAGGCGTAGTATTGGAATTGGTCGTATTGGTGAGTTGTGTCGTTCCACTTGGCGTGGGTGTATTGCCGGAAATCGGTGATCTCCTTGTAGGTGATGTTGCAGTCTGTGAGGAGATTGGCAATGTACTGGTGTTGTGGTCGGTTGGGGTTGTCGAGTTGGGTGGCGTGGAATTCAAGCCATTCCAGGATTTGGTCTGCAGGTGTAAAGGTGTGAAAGTTGGGTGGAGGTCGCCAACGGTTGATTGGGCGACGAAGGACGGCTGTGGTGGGAAATTGAGAGGGGTCTGGGTTGGTGTGTTCAGTGTTGGGGCGTAAATCGATGGGTTGTGGTGGTGAGCGACTGCGGGATGGTGTAAGGCTGGATGTGTAGGTGGATGTCGAGGGCGAACGCCGTCGCCGGGTTGTGCTGTGGTGCTTGGAGTGGTGGTGATGTCGATGTCGGCGGCGGTGGCGGTGGCGTCCTCTGCGGTGATGGTCGGATTTGTGTCGGTTCTTGTGGTGGTGGCGGCGACTGCTGTGTGGTGGCTGCGGGGAAAGTGGTTGTGGTGCTGGTGAGACAGTGGTGTCAAGCTTGTCTGGTGCAGGTAGTGAGGGTCCGGGTGCTGGTGTGGCTGATGCAAGCGATGGTGATGCAGAATGTTGGGATACAGTAGCTGGAGGGGTCGTGTTTTGGACCGGCAATGGAGCGTCCGTGGCGGTTGTGGGGATGTGTTGGATTGGTGGTGCTGGATCGGATGGTGTCTGGTGTGGGAGTGGAGGCTGGACTGGTGGTGAGGCGTTGATGGTTTGTGGAGGTGGTGGCGGGGGCAATGGTTGGGGTGGAGGCTGTGTGACTGGGGGAAAGGCTGAATAGGGTTGCCAAACGCCCTGGGGGATGGCGCATTGTGGGTCTGTGGATGGATGATTGGCAATCGCGGTCTGTTGCTGTGTTGGAGGGGGATGTGTCAGTGTAGTGGGGGGAGGAAGTTCAGCCGGTGGTGTGGGATGAAGTGGTGGCAACAGGTATGAAGGGGGAGGTGCTGCTGACGGAAATAGTGGAGTTGGATGTGTGGGCTGCGGTGGCACGTGACATGGTTGCACAAGCGTCCAAGTGGATGGTGTGCCGTAGGTCAGTGCAGTGGCGGTAGGATTGGACAAAAAAGGTGGCGGTTGAAATGGTTGTGGTTGTGGGTGAGGGTATGCCGATGGTTGTGTCGTGGGAAAGGTGGGTGCAGTTGATGGCTGTGGCAGCGGCCATGTGGGTTGAGGTTGTGTGGTAGGTAATGGTGGTGGCGTGGCGTGAGCGTATGGCAACGGAAAATGCATGTCGTGGTCGTAGCTATGGCACGGCGCGGCGCGGCAGCAAAAAGCAGCGGAGAAGTGCCGAGTTGTATTGTCATGTTGTTGTTGAAAGTCTCATCTCTGGTGTCGACGGAGAGTATGTTGTAAGGTGATGCTAGTTGTGAGCTTGTTGGTAGGTGTGTGTTCATGCATCTCGAATTAGACTGAAGAGCTCTAATGCCCAACCTTGAGTTCTGCCGATGAAAGAATCGCGGCATCAATATGGCAAAACATGGAAACACGAACATGGCCTGGAGAAATGAAATGACGGATCCGAAATCTGAAAGCTGAAATCCGATGTATTCTTCAAGAACCGTTTTTTGGCCCGGCGGCCGGTATGTCTGTTGATTCGGTGAGGGTGTCGGTGCCTTCCTGTGAGAGTCCAGTGAGTGGTAGTGCGTTGGGGTAGTTGCTTTCCCATGCAAGATCGGCGCCCCTGTGACGGGGATCACACTCAGCACCCGAGTGGGACGGCTGAGCGGAACACACTTCGACATTGGTTTTCCGTTAAAGCTCAATCTCTCCGCTGGGAAGGAAGGTGGTGGAACAGCATGGCGAAAGGTCCGAGAAAATTGTAGGTGTTTGAACAAAGGTTGTTTCCCTTGACTGCGGTGACGAAGCGGCTCAAGCTGCAGCGCTGCTGGGGAGGAAGTGGTTTAGGGGGAAGGTATCATGAAGAACCATGGAAACAAACCAGGCAGATTAGACAGCGTGGTCAAAAGTTGCGGTGGCAGGTACACAGGGATGATCAGTCCCTGCATCCTGGTCATCTGCATAGAGCTTCGTTGGCGACAGCTATGCAGTGACCCTGTCGCCCCCTGCCCATATAAGGTGGTTGTCCAAGGTAGTTGAAAAGCATGGAAAGAGTGGTGGTGGAAGACCCTTTGTCCAGGGGTGGACACACACACACACACTTCCACTTGGAGCGTGCGGGCACAAGTGAAGGCGCGGAAGCATTTGATCCAATAACCAAGAAAAGTGCTCCTTTCCTTGGCTCTGGCTGCCTTTGCTGCTTGGAGGTTCCCCTGGCTTCTGAGTCCACCGTGGGTGCCTTGGACCTGCAGACGGCAGTGCTGGGCGCTCAGAGTGCACAAGGCTGAACCTGTGTTCGCGCAATCACCATTTTTAGAGCCATTTCCTATCATTTCCTCATTCAAAACGTGAACCGGAGTTGAATTTAACCTACAGTCGCATACAGATTCATCCTCCATTTTATTGACTCGATAAAGGTTGCGGACTAGGACCAAGTGCGAGGACTTGCTCTTGACTGAGGCCTGGAGTACAGTGATCAGTTTTTTCCTGTGTTAAATAATGCCGACTAGCCAAGTTCTGCTTCCCGTTGCCTCGAACTTAGTCAGACACCATGGTCTAGGCGACATGCACACAGGCCCTCCCTTTTGGTTGAATGTCCTGGGGTCACAGGGTTGCTGCTCGGCTGGTGAATTTGCATCATGAGCAAGGTCCCCAACCCCTGCACATTATTTGAAAGGACAAATCCATTTATGTGGATGAAAGATCCTTTGTCAACATCCACTGGAGAAGCAGAACTTTTCCAAACCACAGGCCCGTGTACAGTAGTTTGGGCCAAGAGTCGCGAGCTTTTCAATTGTTTGGCATTGGAAATGGCGGGAGTCCTAATAGTCCTTTGAGTGTCCTGATCCTTTGAACTGGCGCAAATTGTGTATCCGATGGTGTACGTAAGCAGTTCCGATGAGGCTAAGATTGCTAAGATATTCAGTTTGCAAAGATGCCAGCCGTATGGCTTAACTGCACTGCATTTGTACATGCTGCAGGAGTTTGGATAGGCCTAGCAACTGATGAAGGCTGATAGCATTTGGTTCCTTGAGGTATTTGTAGGGTCCATTCCGTTGTTGCCAATTTGCTTGGGACTCTTGCCCTCAAGCATGCCTGGCTGCCAATCGCGGCACTGTCTGATGAAGAGCTTGACAGCAATATTTACAGCCAGATGATCGGCGACCGTGGACAAAGACATTGAATCAAATTGAATCCGGAGGTTGTAGAAAAGTTGTATGTAGTGTTTTTGGATTCAAGATTCTGCCCGATTTGTGATTTGTGCGTTCCAGCTAATGTGACAGCTATGTGTGCAAGGTCCAGGATCATACTGACGTTTCCATTTTCAGCCAATTCCAAGGAGTTGAGTCATTGAGCACTCTTTAACTTTCGAGAAACCTCTTGATTTGTCGGGAACTCCTTGGAGCAGCTTCAATCACTTCTCATTCAAGCCATTTTTTGCAAAGGCGAGGTGTGCCACCCCAAAGCGTGTAAGGCCAAAAGAGATGCCATTTCAGGCTGCAAGTTAAAGATTGCGACAGCTTGTGGAGCCAAGGGCATCACTACTAGTAACAAGGGCATTACTACTAGTAGCAAGAAGGTACTAGTAACAAGGTGCATCGCAACTAGGAACAAGTGCATCGCTACTAGTAGCTAGAAGCTACTAGTCACATACTTATCCGACTTATGTTTGCTTTCTGAGCGCCCAGGGTTTGAACTGCATTCACATAGTTCTTGATCAGTTGTTTTGCAGAGGATCTTGATGCTGACCTAAGAGGGTTTACCCAAACTGCATCGTTGCAGCCTACATGTGGTTTTCCATATATATATATACTCTTGGCAACAGGGTCATACAAGCAACTGCTCCAGACTAGCAGAATGTATTTCCGTTGCTTGCCAACATCCTCTCAGGTACTCTCACCTGCTCTCAGCCTTTGCTAGCAACGGCTTACACGGCTTCTGCGCGAAAATGGCGCTACAACCTCCTAGCTACAGACAGAAGAGCTTGAGATTTAAGCGATTCAAGCATGTCTATCATGTTTATCGGCTCATTCACCGCTCTCGAATTCCTTGTTTTCGCACAGCGTATGTATATCTTTGCTTACCCCTCTTCAAGGCCGAAAGTCTAACCCTCCGTCTCAGCCATTTCAGGCGTCTCAGCGATACTGTCAGGCATTTCAGGCACAAACCATGACCATCACACGATGCTAAACGTAATACCCGCACTAAACAGTTGCTAGTTCTTTACGATACAATTGACGTGATCCCCATGTCGTTGCAGCCACTGTCAGCTGTGGGAGGCCCAAATGATGTTCAGTTGGAGGATGTTTTTTGTTTGTTATTGTTTTCTCCACCCTTTTTCTGCTGATGTTGATATTGTTTGACTTTCCAATCCACGCAGTTTTGGGAATTGCCAGAGGAGGGGTTCCGGGGCAGAACAGCGACCACCTCGACTGCTGCTTCAAGTAAGTGTATAAGTAAAGTAGTATGTCTGGCGAAGCTGCAAGCGCAACATGTGAAACAACAATAGAACATATTCAATGATGTTTAAGAAACATTAGACTTGTCGCTACGACAGTCTTTTTGGAGTCAGTTGCAAGGTCTTCAGATTCCACCGATTGCTTTCCTGGAAGACAGAACACACGCGCGCACACCGCGGAAAGAGTATTTGGAAAATTGGGAAGAGGCCGGCGGTAGCTCAACTTAAGTGGTTTCACGGAGGCCTGAGTAATGCATGTGGTGTCCACTCGAAAGGTATCTATCCAGTATTAAGTTCCAGAACAACATCAAATTTAGAGAAGCAAGATCCAACACAAGTCGAGCTCAAAGCGGATACGAGTCTGCCGACCTTCACCTAACTGAGAAACGGCCAGTGCGGAACTGTATCAGGGCTGTCAATTTGTGGCCTGGCGTGCTCGGTTTGTAGAGTGTTCCGCATAAATCTATTCTCCTTAGTTGCAACCGGGTCACACACACAGAGACATTTCTTTCGAACTGTGAGATGCCCTACGCTGTGCCCTGAGGCCTTTCAACCAACCGGCCGCCGTTCGGAGTTCATTGTTGTCAGCTGCTACACCCGCAGGGGACCCACATCCAGTCAGCTCGGAAGGTTCAGGTTGGTTGAAGAACACAAGGTGGACGTGGCAGGTATGCACCTCAAGTCTGCACTGATTTATGAGCATCGGTCGAGGATGTTATGATCCTTCACGGTTTAGGTTCCTGAGTGGACGATGTTGATTCAAACAGTTTATGAGTATAGACGAGTATAGTTTGTATGAATCTTCCTTGACATTGTCTTTTGGCCGATGATATTCCATGGGTCAGGTTGCAGTTCCCGAGTAGTTCTTAACCAAGGTTTTGACAACCTTGCCCATGGACCACGTGGCAAAGAGGCGAAGAAGAGGCCACCAGATACCATAATTCAGGCTTAGTGCTACAATGCACAGCTGATACTTTTCAAGCATTTTGAGAAAAGGAGAGTCGATATTTGTGCCGCAGTGTCCCCGCTTTTTTGCAGTCTCTACACCTTTTGGATGGACACAAGTGATGGCTCGATGGTGCTCCTTTCGGTGGTGAAGGACCATTTGTCTGTGTCACGACAGATGACCGAGACAAAGGCAGTTTTCAGCAAGGTCCAGATTAATAGCGATGACCTCCAACCTATTAGCAAGATACCATAGCTAATATATCTAGTGCTTGCTGATTTGATTGCATTCCTGGTTTGAGGCAATCAGGACAGGTTGGATCCTGCACCTAATTATGAGGCTTCTCAACACCTTTCCAGCTTCCTGTACTTTGTGCCTCTTTGTGCCACTTGACAGCTTGTATGCCACGGGCACCGAACAGTTTCGAAGGTTCGAACTCCTTTTCCCGCTCTGCATCACAGGTGCCAGTCGCAAGAACACATCCACACTGTCCATAGAGCTTCTGCATCCTTGTGCATCCCTGTGCACATTGTGCTATGTGTTTGGGGTGCTCTTACCATACCTACCATCCCATCCCATCTGCTTGCACTATATACCAACGAAAAGCCAACATGTCCTGCCGCCGGAGGAAGACGTCATGAATCCGGCTTTCTCACGATGGCACTCAAGGCTCGAAAACAATGGACATCACAATAGGTCTTCCACTTTGCACGATAGCGTTCGTGTAATTCTCACTTCGTGCTCAATGTATGAAGCCTGAATCGCAGCTTCAAACAGTGCTGCTTGAGCAGGCGAAATGTGATGTACACATGTCGGCAGCTTAAGACGACAGATACGTAATGTTCACGAGACTAAAGCCCTTCAGTCACACAAGCATCACTATTGCTAACTAGTTTGGGAATGCCTGGAAATCGGAAGGCTTCCTTGGTGAGGCACAGAGTCAGTGGCAGAAAACGGGCAAATCGACACCTGGAGTGTGCCAGCCTCAGTGCGTGCAGAGATGTCCAGCTCCGAACGCATGGACACTTTGTTGGGTTTGAGGACCTACTGAGTCGAAAATCAAGATGCAAAAGATAAAGGCATCCAGCCAAAGTCTGGTAGTAACAAGAAGCTACTATGGGCTCCTGGCCTTACTACTAGGAGCAAGGACGCTACTAGGAACAATAAAGCTATTAGGAAGTGCCTGGCTAGGGACGGACCTTTCACAACTCGATCAAACAAAACGGATGTCGATCATTCTTTCTCACAGACAAAATGGAAAAGAGCGGATGGACTAGGTGGACCCCTTCACGGGCCAACTCTCGCGGATCGGGACGTTCGATGCCAACAGCCCAGCACAGAGATGCGGTCGGTGCTCAAATGATGTCGATGTTGGGTATCATGAATATTCCGCAGTGTGTAGCCAGTGCTGCAGTGGGAATGTTCATCAATCCGCTCTGCTATTGAGATAGATACATCAGATTTTGAGGCTGGTGGCACTTCCACCTGCTATATCACCTTGGACAAGGTGGACGCCAGACTGGGAGTTCATTCCCCATTGTGTTATCACAGCAAACAAAGATTTGACAATCTTTGACCTGGTTGCCTTGGTTGGAGAAAGACAACTCTGATCTTTCAAAGCTGCTTCCATGCCTGCCGCTTTGTGTCTTGTTGCCATGGCTGAGGATGGATTCAGAATTAATGGATTTTAAGACATTTAAAGAACACCTTCTCGCTTCCATTCTTCTGGCATAGTTTCAAATAGCCGCTAGCCGCTAGCCAAGTTCTTGTGAATTTCAAGCCATATGTCAAATCCGGAACATCCTCATGAAACCGAACTCGGTTGCTTGGAAAACCGGATCAAGAAGGACCACTTCTGCTGCCAGGGGGCTGCTATCCACTTTTGTGTTTACTGATTTGAGCGTATTGTCGGACCACTTTTGCATTGAGGCGAACTTTTGGTTTTTGTTTTTCCCGACACTTAAGTGGCTATCTGACAGACAAGAGAGAGATAGAGAGGGAGAAACTCCTCCCAGTTTGACACACACACACATGCAGAGATTGAAGATAAGATGTGATATCACGTGACTACAGCTGCGCATGGAACATGTAGCGTGGGAGATCTTCCCCTGGTGATATGGTTGGGTTCCTAAACATCCTACACCTTGCACTGTGACCATTGCCAGGAAAGCCGAAACATTTTGGTAGTGAATTATTGGAATGTGCCCTGGCTGGAACCGTGTCGCTTGACGTCGAACCAATGCACATTTGTTCTTGGAGGAGGGGATGGGATCTGAAGGTCCCTAAAAATCTAGGAACAAGGTTCGCTACTAGGGGCTACTAGGAGCAAGGACGCTACTAGGGTCTCCTGGCTTTACTACTAGGAACAAGAAGCTACTAGGGGCTCTTCTTCAGTTCGAGCGCTTCTTCAAGGAAGCTCTCCCCCGCCTAGTAGCCAACTTAGCCTAGCTAACTTAGCCTAGTAGCTTACTAGTCGCCTTACTTGATTAAGTAGGCGCCTTACTGGCGGGGGCCACAGGCTTAAAAAGAAGGCATCAAGTAGGTCGTATTGTATGAGTTTGTCCGTTCCCGTAAGGCAACCATCGGAGTCTTCGGTGTGGACCAGTCGACTGGAGCAGCTTGAATCTCAGCGCGAGTGACCGTTTCAGCAATCCGTTTCATCAATGAGTCAAGTAGACTTGTCATGGTATGGCTTGAAGTCAACGAAGTCCACTCACATTGGTGATTTGATTCATAGGAAAGAACAGGCAATGATCGAAAACATTTGGCAACCGTTTTGATACCTTTGACAATCATTTAATAGGGCCCCATCAGTTAGCATTTAAGTTCTCAAAACGGAATGCCAGTTGGTCGGGTGGTTACCAGTTCCGATGAATTGTATAACTCTGCTTTTGATTTGCTGCGCCTGCACTGAAAGCCTCTTTGGCTTTCATGGTGTCAGTCGGGCCTAGGTGACATGCATGCGCTCTTTGTACGACCCCAACGAGGGGAGATCGATGAAGGACAGTGAATCGCTGGCTCATTGTTGCCACTAGATGCCACTGGTCACTAGCCAGCCCTTTCTCAGTTTTTTTTTGAGTGCATTTTTCAGTTCAGCTGCCATGACAACAAGGGGGCTTGCAGTCGGCAGGCCAAGCATGACCGTCACGTGAACCACTCGGAAAACGATCCACTCGCGCAGAAAGAGCGTGGCCGCCCAGCACGGGCCAACGCAGGGTAGACGGGTAGACCCAAAGTGTGTATGGACAGTTCAAACCTTGGAGATATTGAAGGCTTGGGTAGGGCTCCACTCGACTGTGTTGGTTGTGTACATTCTTTTGCCAGGGTCTCTTGATGCCACAAGTCCCCATGTTGGATGACAAAAGGCCTTTTGACTAAGGCGCCAGTCAGATCCGCACTCGCATGCTGTGATCCTTGATCCATTTTTTGGTGGCTCTGACGTGATTTGGGGATGGGGGGCTGTAGGGACATGAAGTTGAGGCTCACAAGAGTAAAATTTGTTTGCAGCTTGCACACTGGAATTGTGCACGTTCCTTAGGCTATATACCGGGTGAGACTGAAACAAGACGCCGCATCATCTACGGTATTCCTTTGTGCAAGAAGGTGTTTCTTTTAGCAACCAATTCTTGCACGACAGGTCGAATCGCTTACGTGCCGGATCTAGGCACGATGCTTTAAGCCAGCTAAGCTTTGTTTATATATGGTCTGGGGCCTGGGGTGTATGGGGTGCAAGAGGACAAAACGACCCTCAACCACATATCGTGTTCATCTGATGTATTCTTCCATGTACTTTGCCAACTTGACAAATAATGCTCAACCCAGACCCATACCTGCCTGACTGTTGTTTATCGCTGCGCAAAGATTCAAAGAGGCATGGACCTCATCCGGCAATTCCACTATGACATTGAGGCCAGGGACCAGGGACACACTTCGTCTACCTCTAATAGACGACTCGCAAAGCTTATTCTTGTTGGGTAGTTTTTCAGTTTACCAGAGTCTGGAGTTTTTGTGCTCCACGTTGCAACTGGCTGTGGCATGTCGTGCACAAACAGTTCAACAAGAAAACTCGGGTTGATTGTGAAGGCAGGGACACTGGCGGCTCGTGGCACGATTTCCTCTGGCCCACCAGGCCTCACCGGCAGGGCGTCACTGGCAGCATGCATTGTGCTTTATTGTTTTCAGATGGCTTGGAGTGCAGGTCTGGCAACCAGCAACGTTTGTTGCTGAAGGTGTATATTCTTACCTCTTGCTTTAGATTCCCGTAGAGAAGTCTCAAGGATAGATTGTTTGCTGGCAGAAGGTCACAAGCCTCTCAACTCTGTCATTCAGTGCCTTTTTTGGCCCGAGTCAGCAAGGCTGTGCCAAGCTAGCCTCCCTTCAGCTCTGAATCAATACACTTGTGGGAGTGGGATCCTTTTGTGGGTCCAGGAGGAATCTTCAGAGATGAAGAATGACACCACGTCAATCAGAGCTCGCATTGTGGCGGGCTTTCTCACTGCGCTCCCCATTACGCTGATCAGCTTGGCTTCTTGCATTTCATATGCACACCTCATCGAGCCCATTGGAAGATATCAGCCTCTATCTGTGGCTTTGCTCAGTTCCGCCAGCATATTTTCAGCAGGAATTGGAAACTTGATTCACAATGTCGCTTGACTTGCAAGCGCTGGAGTGTTTCAAAAACACACATGACCATGGTCACCATGGGTACACTGGATACAAGTAGGGTTCCTTGCTTGATACAGGCATGATGTTGAGAATTTAAATGTTGTTGCGAGTCGGAAACAAGTCCGCACAAAACAAGAAGTGTACCAAGCACTCTTGAAACCCCTTCGAACCGTTCGAAACCAGCCATTAACTTGGCAACGTTTGGCTCAAGAAAGAAAAGGTCCGAGTGAATTGCACTCACATGGGTTATGAGCCCAACCCGGTAGCTGAAGACCACCCCGTTTGTTCGGGTTGATGGCCGCCATGGACCGAAGACGATCTTCGTCGAAGGCGCAAAGACAAAGCGCCGATGAGCAGCTGGAGGAGATGCTGCAGGAGCATCGAGCAAAGTCGGCCCCACCCAGGAGATCGCAATCTCTGGAGCCGAGCACGAGCATGGCCCCTGCGCTGAAGAGGACCGCGGCAACGCCAAAGCAGACCCCGGTCCAAGCAAGACCTCAGGAGACGGTGCAAGTGCCGATGTTCACGGATGTGCCTCCGCTGCCGGCGGGATCTAATCTACTTCCTCTTCCTCGTGGAGCGCAAGGGGAGCCTGGTGGTGGCTTTGGAACAGGTGCAGCTGCTCTACTTCATCAGGCCAGAGAAGCTTTTGGTGGGCTGAGCTTCTTGTCTGCACCTTTCCCAGGGAATGCCTTGGGGAGTGGAATCCATGCCCAACTACCGGTCCTTCCAGAACGTGGAGATCTCGGCGGTCCTCATGATGGTGGTGCTCTACCCGCAGGTCAAGTCCAAGTTCAAGGGGCACTACAAGCGGGACAAGGTCAACGACCAGGAGCTGGACCACATGGAGAACCAGTTCAGGGTGCAAGTGGGAGTCCACCAGGGCTCAGTCAAGTTCAAAGTTCGCCGATCAACCCATGGACAGCTGCCAAATTGCAAGAACAACAAGCCGGTGTGGCGGGCAGCGTTGGACCTACGGATCGGGTGGAACTATTTCGTCTTCAATGTCTTCGCGAGGCTGAGCAGCGGTTCGCGGAGGGTGTCAAACAGATGGTGGGTGAGGGAAGGACCTCATCGAACGCCTCTTTCAAGTCCGTTCCAGAGGGCTCAGGTGTTGGCGGACAACCTGTTGATGGTGGCAGTGGGCAACCCGCTGGACAAGGACATCATCTTCAAGGGGGACAAGGCCTACAACCGGGCGCTGGCACACAACTTATGTCGTCTTCGGTGTCTTCGGGGACTACTATGAATGGTCAACATCCTGGCATGCAAGGAGCTGGGATGGGGACGATGGTGAACGGTCAGAACCCTGGCATGCAAGGAGCCGGGACTATGACGGCGAATGGTCAACATCCTAGCATGCAAGGAGCTGGGATGGGGACGATGGGAATGGGACCTACAGGACCATGCTATCCTTGGCCCTACCCTGCTGGCATGGGATCAGGGGGTGGAGGTGGTGGAGTCGCTGGACCTCCTCACGGTGGTGGACATAGCGGTGGTGCTGGTCTTGGAGGTGAAGAAGGCATGAACGAAAGCCTTCGCAATGTTGAGTTGCCAATTTTGCCCTTGGAAGCCAACTCATTGACCTTCGGCGATTGGTTGGTTACCATAGAGTCACTACTTGCAGATGTAAGTTCGTCGGCAGGAGATTGGTGGGCCACAACCATCAAAGGGGTCGAGGAGCACTATGCGACATGGTTGTCCTCGGAACCTCTCCAACGGCTCAGGCTGGATCCAGGACCCTCTGCGGCGGCAACCAAGTGGCCGAGGACGGAGAGGAGAATGACCAGTTTGCTGCTGCAGGCGGTGCCTGAAGTGATTCGGTCGGAAGCAGTGGCTGCGAGGAAGTTGAGTGCTTCGCATCTGCTGTTTACGTTGTTTGTAAAGGATGAACCTCATCCGTTACTTGACGGCCCTGAAGACTTCTGGACCAATGTCGGAAGTCGCTTCAAACCTGAGGCAATGGCGTCGGTGGTGGAACAGGGCACAAGAGCTGGCGGTGATGTTGCCGGACCCGGTGATTCTCGCGGGCGTCCTGACCAAGACCTCGGACTACGTCGCCAAGACGGGCGCTCAAGCGGCATACAGACTTGCTGTGTGTCGTCAACAGTTGAACATTGACACCCGACCTACGACGGACGCGATCAAGACCTTTGCGGAGCTGTTGCAGGCCGAGAGTGAAGAGTTGGCTCATGGTGTCAATGGTGCAGGAACTACGAAAACGGCTCCTGCGGTGAAATCTATGACCTTGGCTTCAACGACGGCAACCACAACTATGAATGGTGGAGGTGGGCAAGGGTGGTGCTGGAGAAGGCCGGCACGATTGTCGTTTTTGGTTGAGTGAAAAAGGATGTCGCAGGGGTGATCACTGCAAGTTCAAGCACTCCCTGTTGAACCCCAAGGACAACAGATGCTTCCATTGCTCAGGTCTCAACCACACTCGTAAAGACTGTCCTCACATCGTCAAAACAAAGGAGGTGAATGAGGAGAGCGCGAAGGTGGCCAAGGTGAAGGGCAGTGACAGCAAGCCGACTACCCCGGAACGGGTGGGAGGTCAACATAAAAACAAGGAGGCGAACGACGTCGAGCCGGAGAAGCAGGTGAAGGAGGATGACAACACTCCCGCTGGTGACTCTGGAGGCACTACGGCGTCAGCTGAGTTGGGTGGCTTGGTTGGGCAGGCCGCAGCGTTGTTGAAGTCGCTGCACTCCGTGACGTTGAAGGCGATCAACGTGAAGTCGCTGGACATGGGCACTGGGGCGGCGTTGGGTGAGTCTCTGGGTCTCCTAGACGGGGGAGCTACGCATCCTTTAAGGATGGCTCTGGAAGGGGAGATCGAGAAGGCCGAGTTAGTGACGGTGGAGCTGGCACATGGTCAGATCCAGCTGCATCAAGATCCAGCAACTGGAACGCTCTTGTCGCAGCAGCCGGTGGAACCAATAGTCCCGGTTCGGGGACTGGTGGATCTGGGTTACAAGATGACATGGTCCAGATCTGGTTGTACTGTTGAACACCCGAGAAGGGGAACGATCGTGTCGCACCTTCGGGATGCATGCGAGAAGGACGCCTTGCTGCTCATTCATGAGATTGAGGCCGCGGAGCGTCGCAAATACCTGGACATCGAGCAGGAGGACAACCTGGACCCCGAGGTGATGAAGTGGTGGGAACATCGATTCCCTGAAGTGCCTCGACGAATCTTCAGGTACATGGCGGAGGAACCGGAGGACCCGAAGAAGGTTGTTGAGGGCGAAAAAGGTGATCCTGCATCTATTTGCTGGTGAACGTGCTCAAGAATGTTTGGAGCTGCAGGATCACGGATGTGAAGTCATTGCTCATTGCGTTGGATGTGATGCATGGAAAGGATCAGGACATCCACAACCCTGTTTTGTGGGCATTCTTGGTCTCCTTGGCGAAGCAAGGTTCCTTGGCGGTGATCCTGGGAGGACCTCCACGTCGGTCGGTTTCGAGATTGCCTTTCCGGAGACCTGGACCTCGGCCCCTACGAGATCGTCATGAACATCGCTTTGGACTACCACATCTTTCAGCAGGAGAACAACGGCTGGCAGATCATGATGCCGCCCTTGTGTTGAAACAAGTGGGGTTGTGCCACATGGCGGAAGAAGCTCGGAGGGATTTGGAGGTGGCTCGCGATCCCACAGGCTTCCTGCTTGAGTCTCCAGCAGACCCGGTGTCCATGGCGGCGGAATCTCAGGTGCCTTCCTTTTGGACGTGGCCGGAACTTCGTGGGCTGGAGATGGAGGAGAACATGGCTATGGTTACCTTCGATCAAGGAGCTATGGGTCATAAGAAGAGAAAACCTACAACAATCATGACGAACTTGCCGCACATGAAGGACTTGCACAACCTCCTCGCCAAGAACCTGAAGGATGAAGCGCTTCCGGACTCCGCGGAGGAAAGCATTGCGCAGTCCAAGTCATGGGCTTTGTGGGCACCAGGGCTACGCGCAGCCATCAAAAAGGCCATCCAGATCTACTTGGAAAACTTCGTGGAGGTGAAACCCAAGGTGGCCGCGATGAAAGCCAAGGAGGTGGAGGGGTGGAAGAAACACTTTGCCCTGGGCCATCGACCGTTCCGCAGGGACTGTCGTCTGTGCATTGAACAGATGGGGTCACAAAAGCCTCATCGCAGAAGGTCTATGGAAGACCGAATGTCATCAGCGTGGTCGGTGTCAGTGGACATTGTGGGCTCGTTGACCAACGCAGTGGATCTGGTCACTAAAAGACCAGTCAAGTATGCCCTCATGGCGGTGGCGTTGGTTCCCGACTACACCCAGGAGATTAAGGCCGTGAAGGATGGGGATGGACTTCACGACCAAGGTGACCAAGGAGAGCGCCAAGAAGATGAGGAGCAGCCAAGTGGGGGGGGTGTCCAGCCGGACTCACAGGGGCCCACCGAAGGCGCTGTGGGTGACCCTGCGGCCGAACTCGGTGAAGAGGCGCAGGA